AGCTCCCCGATGAGGAACGGGTAAGGATTTTTATTTGGGGTTTTGTGTAGGGGAGGGGGTGCATGTAGCTTGTGCAGGTCGGTGTTTTCCCAACAGCCTGCGTTTGGCCTTGAGAGGCTGCTTGCAGCGAGGTGGGGGGGATGGTGAGATAGGAGGATGGCAGGTGGGCATCCTTCACACTTGTCTCATGTTCCTGTTTGAGACAGGTTTGAGTGCTGGGAGTCAAGGAGTTGAGGTCTGGGAAGGCTCTGCACCTTGATATTCTTGAGACGGCAGCTTTCCTGGCAAACTTCAAGGACGCATGATTAGCTAAACTTTAGTGTGCCTCCAACTCCAGGCCACCTGGGCTTTAACAATTTGTAACTCCCATTTAGTTGTAAAGCTCAAGGAGTCCAAGTTTAAAGAAACAGGTGTTTACATATGAGTGGAGCTAGAGAAGCAGGAAAGGGGGTGGTGTGTTTTAGTTTTAACCCCATATACGCTGGGTTCAATGTCGGGGAACTGATATCAGGGCTGATGTTAAGAACCTGTAACAAAAGAAGACCAGAGTTGGACATTAGTTAAAGCAATAAGAACAGATTTTATCCAGGAAATATTTGAATTGAGGAAACAGAGATCTCAGTGTGCAACGAGGCTCAGCCCTGCATATGGTGTGGACAAATGGGGGTTTACAGCCAAGGAGCAGGGTGGGGGTCAGTGGACAGACAATTACTGAGAGGAAACATCGGGGTATGGGGGCATTTTGGCTAAACTGACTTGACAGAATTCTTGCTGAAAGCAGTGCAAGATGATGAGATGTCACGGGGGAATGGTGGGGAATAAAGAATTTGATAAGGTGTCAAAGATGATCAGATATGGTGGGCGGCAGTTCTGGCTAAACTGATTTAGGAAGATCTTGCTGCAACCAGGTGCTGCAGGTCTGATAAGGACTTATGCCAAGGGTGAAGCCTCCTTGAGAAAGGATGGAAGTTTGGCAAAGGAGAGAGTCTTTGTCAGTGTTTGTAACTGAATAATTTATTCAAATCTCTTATTTTATTTCCAGATGTTTGTCTATGATTAATGTTGCCTTAAACTTATGCTCTTAAGGGCTAGAAATTTTATTTCTATGGATAGATTCCCAGGTGCAGGATTGGTGAGAGAAAAGTTGTATATTTTCAGTTGAAAATAATCTTGCCAAAAGGTTTGCAATACCTCGATCCTTGACAATATTTCTATGAGAGACCCTCCTTCCCTTCAAGACACTTTTCTAGACATCTTAACATAGGGGCATGGAACAAATTCCGCCACATGTCCACGTCCACAGGGCCTTGGGCTATTATCTTAGTTTGCATTGGCAGACCTTTACAGAAAAATAATATGCAGATATCCTCAGTCGAGCCATCCATTCTGTGATAGCTTGTTAGCAGCCCTAGTGAACTAATACAATGACTCACCCAAAATATAAATGGGTAAAAGGCACACACAGATAATTGACAGAGGAACAAATGCAAATTGTGATTAAAGTTATGAAAATATAATCAATCTTTCTAATGAAGTGAATGGAAATTGTATCAGAAAGAAGCTGTCATTTTCCACTCATGCCATTAAAAAATATTAAATAAAAGAGCAAGACAATTTCCAGTTCAGGTGAATGTGTGGAGAAGAATATCAGAACAGACTGATAAGAGAAGTAGGCTAGAAGAGCTTATGGGAAGGCAATTTACTATCACCTATCAACATCAACGTTACCTTTGGAGTGAGATATTTCCACTTCCAGGAACATATGTCACAGAAATTTTCAAGAAAATATATTTGTACCCACATGTATGGATTTCACCATTTTTTAAGAGAGAAAGAAAAATTGAAAACACCCTCAATGTCCAGTGGTAAAATATATTCAAGTACATTCATAATGAATTTTAACATGTGTAGACATGGAAAGAGCTCCAAGATGTACAAGGCAGTTGCAGAACATGACTGTAGGGGGATCATATATATACACATATATTATGTTATGGCAAAAAATAACACGTATTGGAAGATGAATGTGCACTCACTTGTAAATGCAAGAGAATCTGGTAAAATGCTTCCATTAAGGTTGCTTCTACAGAGTAACCTGGTTTCCCTTTTTATAAGGACTTTGAATGGTTGAATTTAGAGTGGTGCTCTTAATTAACACTTCTGGCTATATTTTCCTGATAAATTATATCATCTTTATGGATATCCTTTCAGTGTATTTACCAGAAAATAGAGGGATTTCAATTGATTCTTCTTTCCTTATAAAGTTATTTGAAAGCTAAGTGTGATAATGAAATAAAAAGATGATTATAAATAATAAAAAAGGAAATTCATAGTTTTATATAGTGGAAAATAATAAATGGCAAATAAATCCAATACAGAAAACTTATCTGTGTAACAATGAAGGAAGAAGTGATACGCCGTTAATTCTGTGATGGGCACAGTGAACATTTAACTGTGCTAAACTCTAGCCAAGCCAGTATGTTCTTACAGCCGAATGGCAAAGACATTGGACTCTGGATGCTGATTTGATATACCACTTTCTTAATAGAAATATGTTCTTACAAGTCACGGTAGTCCCCTCTTATCTGCAGTTTAGAGGTTTCAGGTACCAGCAGTCAACCACAGTCTGAAAATATTAAATGGAAAATTCCAGAAATAATTCATAAGTTTTAAATTGAGCACCGTTCTGAGTAGTTTGATGAAGTCTCGGGCTGTCCTGCTCCGCCCTGCCTGTCTTGGTTATCAGATCCACTGTCACAGTATCGCACTGCTTGTGTTCAAGAAGCTCTTGTTTTACTTAATAATGGCCCCAAAGCCAACTTTATTATTAGTTATTGCTGTTAATCTCTTACTGTGCCTAATTTATAAATTAAACTTTACCATAGATATGTATGTTTAGGAAAAAACGCAGTATATATAGGGTTCGGCACTCTCCGTGGTTCAGGCACCCACGGGGATCGTGGAGCGTATCCCCTCTGGATAAGGGGGGGACGACTGTACTCCCCCTGCGACTCAATTTCTTCAGCTGGAAAGTGGGGTTAACGCCAGCGCTTCCCCCATAGAACTGTCTGAAGCTTAGCTGAGTAAGTGTATATAACAGCATCTTGCATGCAATACATTGTCAGCGTATGTTATCTAACATTGTGACCTTATGGTCACTTAAGATAATTTTGGAGATGTGTTTATTGTCACAAACATTCGGGAGAAACAAATTGACACATGAAGTGAAGTCGTATCATTAGAAGCAGATGAAAATGTGCCTTCCTGTTCCTTATTTGACTTTGCTAGTGAGACAGAAAGGAAATCTGGGGCGTTAATAACTGTCTGATTCCTGGCTGATGAGCGCTCATCAGTGAAGACCTAAAGGCCAGGGAGAAATATTGAGGTTCGCAGCAGTGGGGCGTTCCAGTTCCCTTCAAACAAGAGGAATGTGAAGAGTGCTGAAGACCTCCGCTTCAAAAATGAGGAAAAGCAAAGAACTGCGATAGAAACCTATTGTAGGTGTCATGCGTTTATTAATCATCTCTAAGGCTGTTGGTAGGCCCGGTTCCTTTATAATTCCACAGAAAGACCTAAAATTTATCAACTTTCTCAGTAGTAGAAATTTTATATACTTTTTAGATTAATTACCTACTATGGGTTTGAAACTTTACATAAATTGCTCCATTTAACACATAACCTGAGTGAGGTCAGTGTTAGTATTGCATTTTACAGATAAAGAAACTAGAGAGAGCTTGAGCCATTTTCCTACAAGTTTAAAACTGAACTTGTCAACAACTTTCATTAAAAACTGTTCATCCTGTGACTTCTCTCTCGGTGAAGGGCTGTGTCCATAGTCACCTAAGCAGGAAACATGGCATCACTAATAACTAACGCCCTCCCAATCTTTCCTCACAAACACAAGAAATTTTTTCAAGAATATATTATTGATTCAATTTTGCATGTTTTGCTGAAATCAACCCAAGCTTCCCTGTCTCCACTGCTTTTAATCTAATTTGGGCCTCTACCATCTTCTCCCTGGATTGTTGCCATGGTGTCTTCCTTACTAGCCTCCCTTTCTCCAGATTTTTCCCTCTTCCAATTCACTCACCAGTTTTTAGCCAGGGAAATCTTTCAAAAACATAATCTGATCACGTCCCTCCCCGTGTCAAACCTTCAGTTACTTCCCCTTGTGTTCAGAACAATCCCCAGCTCCTCACCCGTTACAGGGCCTGCATGCCTTTGCTCTGGCTTCCCACGTCCTCATTTCAGCAGCAAATCTCCCACAGTCCAATTAGGACTCCAAACCTTCTCACGTGTCTGCACTTCTTTTTTCTTTTAATTCAATAAACTCATTTTCATTAGTATTTACACATGCTTTCCCCTCTCAAATGGCTAATTTCTGCTAGCCTTTCAAAGTGCATCTTATATAGTTTATAATACGTTTTCCAGAAAATCTTCCCTGGATTAGCAACTCTCCTATGTGCTCCAATCAATCTTTTTAAACTTCGCCTATGAGTCATAGTTCTAGTCTGCATTGGCAATTAGCACTTTTCTTGACTACATCCCCCGCTACACACGCACACTGGCCATAACACATATAAACACACACACACAAATATACACGCTACTTGCTCGTTCATTCCTTGAATAGGACCTTAGGGTAGTAGTTTAATCTTTCTGAATCCAATTCTTTTATATTTTCAAAATGAGAATTATAACACCTGTCTTATCTTCTTGCAAAGACCATATGAGAAAAAATGGGAAAAAAAATGTATGCGTATATATATGATACTGAGATAGATAACACTTTCTTTTATGGTAATTAACAAGTCTGTTCAAATTTCACTGTAATTATTGTATTTATTGACTGATTTTCATGGATATTTTGCTTCTTCCAATTAGCAGTAGAGATTCTTAGACATGTTTGGCAAGAGGTGTCTTTTCCATGGGTTTCTTTCCATTCAAGCCATGGATGAAGCAAGACCCCTACATGCTGTTCTCCCATTTTTTGTTGTTAGTCCTGGCGAGCTGATTCCGACTCCTAGCTACCCTGTAGACAGCAGAACGGAACCCTGCCCAGTCCTCCTGCACCGTCCTCTCCCCGGATGGAGCTGTATCACACAATGCTCCCCTGCTATTCATAGGATTTCCACGGCCAGTTTTCTCCCAAGTGAGTGGCCAGATCCTTCTTCCTAGTCTCTCTTAGTCCGGAAGCTCTGCTGAAACCTGTCCACCATGGGTGACCCTGCTGGTAATTGAAATACCTGTGGCATAGCTTTCAGCATCACAGCAACAGGCAGCCACCACAGTGTGACATTTGACAGATGGGTGGTGTGGTTCCCTGACTCGGAAATGAATTCAGACCACAGTGGTGAGAGGGCTGAATCTTAACCCCTAGACTTTTTTTTTTCTTTCTCTACCACCAAGCCTGGCTATACCCCCACGTTTATTCCCCCAATGTCAGAAACTCTCTATGCCTCTGAGCTGCATTGGTTCAAATCATATCTCTCCCTGTAAAACTTCAAGGACCTTGGAAAAAAGTGTGGTGATATCATTGGAAAATATCTATTTTCCAAGAGCTACCTGACAAACTACGTTATACATGTAGACGATGTACAAAATGTTCTGGAACCTCTCTGTAGCCTGGATAGTCCTCAATGCAAAATGAATTTTGAATGGATTTTGCTTTAAACACAAGGGCATGGGATTCTTACTAAAGTGATGGAAGCCGAGTGGAAGCGTTCTGGGGCTCTCATGGCTTTTCTTCCTGTGTTAGACAGGACTATGAAGAGCTGGAAAGGCAGCTGAAAGAAGTCTTTAAGGAGCGAAGCACCATCCTCTATCAGCTGACAAAGACAGCAAGAGAACTTGATAGAATTAAAGACAACCTTCAGGTGAGAGCAAACCCGATTTTCCCAGCAGCAAAGGAGGAGAAGGCACCTGGTTTGTCTCGGTGGTTTAACATGTAAAGACCCCTGCATTTTTTACCAGATTTGAATATGTTTCTGGACTTGACCATGGGAGTTATTATTTATTATTATATGAACTTTGAAAAGAAATGTCTTTTGAAATGCAGTCTGGGAATCTGTGGTTTGCAAATTCAGGAATGAGAAAATTGCGTGCTTGGCAAAGCCATCAATTTCTCACAGCTTGTAAGATCAATTTGACCCCGGTGTTTCTTATATCACGAAGTGATGAAATGTAATTATGACTGAGTTAAATGAATATAGAAATGATCTCTAGAAGACAACTTTAAATTCTACAAAGGATAGTTCTCAAAATTCTTTAGTAAACTTCATTACCAAAATGGGTAAATGCCTTACAAAAGTGGGTGTCATCTGTGAAAATGTGTAGCACTCGGTGAAATCTCAATCAAAAACCAAAGACAAGATCTATATCTGATGAGAAAATCTTTCTGAAATATTGGAGAATGTATTTTAATATTTGGCTTTAACATTGTATTTATTGAGTTCATACTGTGTACTAAAAGCTTTGCATGTACTACAGGATTTAATTCTCATAATGCATCTATAAGTTAGGTATTGTTAACATGACTTTTCTTGTTACACATAAGGAATTATGCTTAAAAAAGATGTTACTTTTGAATGTCACAAAGGAAGCCAGGACTCAACTTCAGGCATTCTCGCTCCAGAGCCTGTCTATTAGTTATTGCTCTGAACCGTATTTCTGAACCATGTTCATTAGGCTCTGGTTGTTATTAGTTCCATTTTATAGGTGAGAAAAACAGTTAGAGAAAGGTTAAGAAACTAAGAGCACAGAGAGAATTAGGCAGCAGATCTGATATTTGAACCCAATGCCCAAGCTCTTGTTCCAGAAATGTGTTACATCTTGAGAACATGGAAATAGCAAAAAAAAAAATCACCCTTGTTCCAGTAGGACACAGTGAGAGGTAGCAGAATGATAACAATGCAGGAATAACAGTGCTGTGACGGAAGTATGCACAGAGTATTAGGGACACACTGATGAGAGTGAAATGGGTGCATACTGATTTCCACAGGAAGCTGATGCCACAACTGCACCTTACCATTAAGTAGAAATTCACCACTTATATGAGGCTGTGAAAAATATTTAAGACACCTACACCTTCTCAGAGGCATGGAATGCCTGGCACATTGAATATATTTCAAGTGTATGGTGAAGTGCCCGTGAGTGGTCAGTATTTACAATATTCCCAGGACACTCAGTCTCTCTGTACCAGTAGCCTACGTTAAGACATCTAATTACAGTCTAGAAAATTGCATCATACAAATATATAATTTCATGGAGTCACACTTTTTGAGAGGGTAACAATCCCACCATTAAATGTAGTTGCAATTTTTAAAATGCCTTTTGTTTATTTTGTCCCAGCCACTGTGCAGTGTTTTTCATTTTTTATCTTATTAAATCCTCTTAGCGACCTCTCCTCAAAATTAAGATAATATTTTACTCATTGTAAAACGAGGAAATAAGACCCAAATAGGCCACAGGAATTGCCCAAAGTTATACATCTAATAAATGGTGGTTCCGGGTTTCAAATTCATAGTAAATAACTATATAGCCCATTGTACTTATTCTTTTTTCCAATGGTATTTCACAAAGACATGAGTTTTGAAAGTCGTGTCCATCTCTGTAACCCTAGAACTTGGGTGGCATGGTAATATAGGTCAATCAATAAGCATTATGTTGATTAATCAGTAGGTATATTAATGATAGGTATCCCTTAAAGGCATTAAAATTATTTTCCAAGAAGCAGACCCCACTTTCCTGGACATTGCTGAGAAGTAATGGTCAAGAACACTCCAGCTCCTCTAATTGGATGCACTTTGCAGGCCCCACCTGCATATCTACTCTTTTCATTTCTTCATCTCATGTTTTGTTTTTATTTTTTTGATTTTAAATTTCTTGAGGACAGTCCCCTGCCTTTTTAATCTTGCTTTCCTTCAGACTGCCTAGTGTGTAGCAGATGGTCAGTAAAGGAGGGAGCATATTCTTCTTGCACTTTTCACCAAGTGCTTTCACACATCTATCATCCCGTTTGAGTTTTCCAACAACTGTCTAAAGTAGGCTTTCCAAGAGTCTCACCCCTGGTTTTCAGATAAGGGAGTCAAAGGGCGGAATTTGTGACCTGCCCCAGGTCGTATGGCCATGATGCACTTTGAGCTGTAAATCCCTTGATTGGTGACGTTCCCCCCAGTTTAATTCCTCCTCCTGCTTTCTTTGTATGTTATGTGAAGCCACTTGTTCCAAATAAGGGGACACTTTTTATTGCCTGTTTCCTAATAATAACCTCAGTCAGTCATTGTAGGGGAGAAGTTTCTCCTATGAAGCTTGGCCCATGACATCCCTATCAGAATGCTTATCTTACTAGAAGAAAATTGTCTGTTTTTAGCATTAGACTGGAAAATGTGTGAAGGCAGACCCCACGCTTTTGCACAGGTCTTTGCGTAATTCACCATAGATGTTTGTTAAATAAATATTAAGTAAACCAAGTGTTTGCTGTTGCTGCTATTGTCAATTCTCTACCTGTCACAGCTGCTCTTCCTACAGACAATATTATTGCCTCTCAGTTTCAACTTTTAATACCAAGAAAGACAGCTTACCCTGTTAAATAGTTTATTGAGTGAAAATAAGGAAGTCCTTGGGGAAGACTTACTGGGATAGATTCTCTAATGAGAAAAACTCAGTGGACTTTTCTGTTTTAATTCATGGGCGGCAAATGCTGAATTTGCTAGAGTAAATAAACACTGAAGACCGAGGTGGCATATTCTTTTCTTAATGCCCTGTCTGGATAGACCAGTTACAATTTTACATGCTTTAGTTTTTCTGTGTATTCTGTGTGTTACTCATCAATAATAAATAGACGTGACCAAGCAGGTGCATGCTTTTTAGTTGCTTTGATCTGAATTGTGTTATTACTTAGATTATTCAGGGGGGCCTTTTAAGTCCCCCTGTGTTTGTAGAAACGATGCCAGAGCTGGTTTAACTAACATGCCTGTAGAGAACACAGTAAAACTTCAAATGAAGAGCAGAAGACGTATTCTATACTCACTTATAAAGAGGCTGGGGTATTTGGAGAGCACTTTCTCCTCCATCAGACCACTAAAGGCTGAGACTCAGCTCATTCTTTCACCTGCTGTGTAGCACACGCACTAGTTGGTGTTACAAACTCCTCTGTGCATCCTTAGAGCCCCGAGGACCATGATGGCTTCATTTGCCTTCTTGCTCCAGGGCCTAAATGCAGTGACACCTGTGCCAAAGAGACAAAAGTAAAGTGAGCCTCAATTTATCACTTGAATAAGACGTCCTTTTCCCACTTTTCTTATCAGTCTTTGAAAAACGTTGAGAAATCTGCCCAAAGTGATGTTCAGATGCTTCTGGAAATAGGTCAGAAACAAAGGTAAGACTGCTTTCCTTTTATTTTCTCTGTTCTTTTTTTTCCCCATAATGTCAAGCTCTATTCAGGAACTTCACAGGAAGCAGTTCGTTCTAAATGCATTATTTTATTAGCTACACCCGAATGTGCGAGAATCTTGTTCAAGGGCAGATTCTTATACAGTAAACCTAGCGTGGGGCCAGGGAGTCTGCATTTCTAGCAAGTTGCCTGGTGATGGAGCTGCTGATGCTGCTGGTCTGTAGATCACAATTCCAGTGTTTAAGGATCTGCAGTATTCTCCTCCATTGTCTTAGTAAGAGCGACCTGAATAAGTCTGCCCATTATTAGGCTCAAAAACATTGACTTCACTGGGTCATTTTGAATGGTATCAAAACTTGATCATGGTGATAATGGTGGGGGTGGTAAGGAATGGAGGAACCTTATTAACAACTTAAGTAGAATTAGTACAATGTTATTAGTATTGGCTTGTTTATTTTTGAAGGAAGTGCATTATGAGATAGATTTCTATGCAGTATAAAAAGCTATTTGATTTGAAATTGCTTCTCAAAGGAAAAAAGTATTTTAAGGTAGAAACACGCTAGCATTTGTTGTACCTTTGCCAGAGGCTCTGCTAGATGCTTTATATATATTTTCTTGTTTCAGCCTCATCACCTTATGAGGTAGATATTATCCCTGGTTAATAGAGAGGAAATTGTTGCTCAAAGTGCTGAAATGAGTTGCTGAGAGTTGTGTTAATTGGAATTTGTTCTGCGGAGTCTCACTCAATAGCCACCCCATGTCAGGTTGGTTCACTAATCACAAAGCTCAAAGCTGTTACAAAGTTTACACGTGTTGCTCTATGTAGTACCTTCTCACCATCTTGTATCTTCTCCGCTGTCCTTGGCTCTTGGACCCAGAAACCTCTCACTGACAAATTTGATTGAGTTTACGACTAGTTAAAAACATAATCGAGTGTTCTATATTGTCTTTTTGTTATTTAAATGAAATCATTATCTCTTGACCATGAAATTCTTTACAAAGTCTAATATTAAAAAGAGCTTGTATAAAATATTGGTCTGAGCATGTTCCCAAAATTACATCAGTTTAAATGATTGTATGAGCTTGACATAAGCCACCTTTTAAAGTACCTATGCTCAATATCACACAAGTATTTGTGGTTCATTGAGTTAGTGTTGGACAATTGTCAGCAGCATTTTGAATAGAAATAACTGGTCAAAACAAACTGAGACATACTGCCCCTTATTACTTTTTGTACAAGATTCCCTGTTGGGAAAGGATAATAAACAAAAATACGAAAACAGAAATGACTTCTGCACAATGCATGTGCAGCACAGTGAGAGGGTGGTAGTGACAGAAGAGGACAGAGTGACTCAGGGAAGAGCAGAAAATAGAGCTGTATGCATGGACTGGGACCAGAGATTAAAACTCGTATGGGGTGGCTCAGCGTGGGCTTCAGCATAAGCAATAGAGAACCCATCATTATCCACAATGTGGATAAGGAAAAGCCAACTCCTTTACTTTGCTGTTGTTTATATAACTTATCCATGGCTCTTCCTACATGACGCACAAAATCCCCAGGCAAATCAGAAAAATCGTGGTTGGGTCTATTAAGAATCTCAGATCATCATCTACACATTTGGTATGGTATACAAATGACTGGATGAGGACCAAGCCTTTCAATTAAGAGATTAAATGGAGCAGATGTTTTTGTACTGCCATTTCAAAGTTTTATCAAAATTAGAAAATTTGTTTAAAATGCATAACTTGTATAAAGTACAAAAGTAAAGTCAGAATGGAAAATTCAATAAATTCTAACAATTTCTGAAGAGGACATGACATTTGACATAATATTAGTTTCTGCTGCTTACTTAGAGATGTATAAAAATCATGGTTATCTGAATGTGAAGAAGGCTGAGTATGTCATTTCCAAAATGAACGACATTAATAAACAGTAAAAGAGAAAAAATATCATCTTGGAATATAAAAAATATTAACTGCAGATTTAGAGGATTGTCTGAGTCTGAGAGATTGTGATGTGTTGTAGATGCTATTTGGCTATCCATGTGGCTCCCAATAACCCCTTGTCTTCTGGGATACTTGCTACCTGACCCTTCCCTGGAGGAATGGTCCCTAAAAGTCATACTTTATTTATTTGACTCTGACACTACTGGCCACCGTTAATTGGCTCAGAGGTGGCCACCAAAACACCTTTTGGATCAATTAGAGTTTCCTTCTTGGAATTGTAACCAAGAGGCAACTGACCAGTCTCTCTGGGTAGCTGGAACAAGATTGTATGTAAGTAAACTCAGAGACAATAGGGTGGCCATAAACAACCAGTTGGAGGGAGCAGAGAGTGCCTTGCTGTCCAAGAGAGACAGAGACAGGAGTGTGTGTGTGTATGTGTGTGTGCGTGTGTATGTTTTTATGTGAGAGAGACAGAGAAAGTTGTATTGACTCGGGAGCGTTACATTTTCAGAAATGTTTAGACAGCCTAGACAGTGTTCTCAGAAGAGTCTCCAGGTTGATGCAGAGACTTCTGAACAACACTATGTGAGGAGCGAGAGTGTGTGACCGCATAGTAGAGACTCTGGGGAAAGGAGAGTCCTTTGAAGTGGCTGAAAGGCTGTCTTGAGAAAAAAGGAATAAAACATTTGATTCCCTGTGGTGGTTGGTGGGTGGAGATTCCTAGAAGGCAATTTTGGACTCTGTGTACTAAAGGATTTTACAATATAGCGTTCTCTGAAAATGAAAAAGATGCCTGGGATGGTGGCAAGTTCTCCATCTGTGATGTTATTACAATACAAGCTGGTAAGCACTTGAAAAAAATGCCTTCCTGTAGAGTGATTTGGGTGAGCGTGTTTTTATATTTATAATTTGAGATGCAAGAGGTGTGAAATAGCTGACCTTTAAAATCCCTCGTAACCATGAAATTCTGTGCTAAAATCACTTAACACCTGAACAACGTATCGCGTGTGTCACTGGAGCCATCAATGCTTCAGAATCAAAGCTTCAGTTCAGTACCAAATAGGGCCCTAGAGTAGCTAGCCATAGTCTGAGCATGTCCACTTGGCAGAGAGGGTGGTACATAAGTGAGTCAGCAATCAGCTCTCGTGGGAGCATGACTTAGCAAGTCTGTGAAAGACATTTGGGGCCACGTAAAGCACGAGAGCAATGAGAATGTGCAGAAATAAGCCTGGAAGGCAGAAGAGAAGATGGGGAGAGTCAGCAGATTCAAAATGCCCACTTTGCCATTCTGTCTGACAGCTTTCCTTGCCCTGGAAATGTCCAGAATTCTCTACCTTCTCCGATTATTAACAGCTTTTATGGTTTATTTTTGTCTTACTCCCTACATTGCCTATAGATGTCAGTAAGTGAGAATTTTTGAATATATATATGCTCATTTTAATTTGTATACAACATAATATTTTATAACCTAATTTAAAAACATATGTATCATTTTAAAGAGGAAAAACTTTTAAAATCCAAAAATAATAATTAATTATTATAAGATTTTATTATAACTTTTTTCAGTTGTAAATATCATGTTTGACTGTGTTTTCATTCAGCGCTTGTGAAGATTTGAGTGTTAGCGATGACATGTAGGTCATTCCTTTCTCTCTCTCTCTCAGTAGAGGTAGAATAGTGACTCTGGGCTTTGGGCACATAGGCTCCAGAACACAATGCCACCACCTCTCTATGCATCAGTTTTCTTTCTGTTTTATGATATCAAAATTTGATGCAAAATTTACAAGAGTGGCTGGCATATTGTAAGCCTACAATGTATGTAGATAGTACTCTTACATTTTATTATACCACAAGTGCTCTTTGTGGAAAGCATCAGAAACAGTAATCAAAGCCCAGATTTTAAGGGTCCATATATGAAGCAATTCTGATTAATGAAGCCTGTGTGAGGCAGTAACAGAAGCTGAAACTTGAAATCCACTTTAAGCAAAAGCATACTGTAAGCTTCACCCCAGCAAGCATAAATCACCAAAGAACCAAAGTGACTGTAATTATTTCATAACTTGTTCCAATTATGTTTTGCTTCAACAAACAAAGTCCAAATTGATTCCAACAGTCATACAAAGTCTCATTGACATTCCTGAAGTGGAGGTGGAGACCTAAGCATTTCTAGAGTACAAAATCTGGAGGCACCCCTTGCATGAAGGAGCAGCTTGCAGTTGTGCAGGATGTGGTGGTCAAAGAATGAACGTAGGGACCCAAAGTGGGGCTCATGGTTGTGACAAAGACCTCGTATGTATTAAGTGATTATTTTCCAGGCACTGTGCTAAGCATTTTGCCAAGCATTTTGCCTACATTGTATCATCTAAACCTCGCTACAAACCTATGAGGTAGTTGTGTCATTGTGCCCATTTTATAGATGAAGACCATGAGTCTGAGAGGGTGCTCTCTTAGCCTCTTGTCTCTGTATTGTGGTTACGCACCCAAGTTCCAGAGGTAGCCTTTTGGCACCAGATTTGTAATTTTAAATTAGTTTGGGTGCTGGTATGACTAGAAAAGGCTTCTGTTTGGTTGTTGCTGTTGCTTTGAAGGAATTTATTACTTCAGCCAGAACTGACAGACACACACGCACTCACGCACACACTCACTTGCACACTAACCCTTATCTGATATCTGAACTTTTTGAAATGATAGCTTAGGTGATAAAATGAAGGCAAAGAAAGCTAATATGATTTGTCATAAGTTAGTAAATCCTAAACCCTTGAGAGAGGTGCAGTTTTATGGAAATATTTGTATTTTGAACAGGTGAGAGAGGTTCCATATATATTAGCGAGCTTGAGACACAATGCGGATATATGTGCAGACGTGTATTTCTTTTCTTATCCCCAGTAAATGAGGCAGCCCTCAAGTTAGAAATAAGTCTCTTTTCTCTGTTTTACAAAAAGTCTCAGGCCTTATAAAGCATGTCTAAAGCACAATGCTTTAGGATTAATCAATTAGGAACGTCCAAAGGGAATGGTAATTTATCCTATCAGCAAGTCTATGGTGACTTTTTCTAAGCAGCATGTTCACACCCTGGCATGCTGTCACTAGAATTAGCTTTTCAACTCTAATTATTATAGTGATTTGATTAACACATTATGCAGCTCACAGATGATTGACACAGTGGGATTCTTACAAGACACAATAGCAAGGCGATTTCCTTTAAATACGGCTTGCTTTTAGTACTTGCACAGGAGAGAAAACCCTTCATTACCAGAATCCTGAGATACATTCTATAAGCTCAATTGTATCTCTATACAATTCTAGTTGCCTGTTTCCTCAATGTACATAGACAGCAAATCTTTTGTAATGTACATAGGAAATAACAGAATTATATCATGTCTCTCTTTTGCTTTCTATTTTCTACTAAACTAGAGAACAAATGAAGTCTCTCCAGGATGTCCTACAAATTCAACTTAAAGAGACAGCTGATAAAGCAGAAAAACAACAGGCTACTGTAAGTGTGTTTCTCTTTTGTATCCTTTGCTGTGGGGCTGGGAAATTGTTAAATTTTTTTCCAAAACTGCTATGGAACAAATATACCATGAGAAAAGAAAATGAAAATGCAACAAAGAAAATGCAGTCACCAAGATCATAAAAATACTTGGCCAGCACTCATTCCAAGAAAATATTTTTGTTGTATTTGATTCTTAGGGGTCTTCTAATTCCCACCTTCATTTATGGATGAGGAACTGAGGACGCGAGTGTTGGTGTCAGGCCCCGCATCAATGGCCCTTGAATTGTGGGGTGTAACTGACCTTGAACTACGTTAAGCTATACAGATTCCTAAGCCACACCCCACATCGACTGACTACAAATCTCTCTCTCAATGTGGGGCCACGCAGTTTGCTTATTTAAGCAACTCCATAGGTGATTTTCATGCACCTCAAAGTTTAGGAGTCACACTTCTCTCCAGAGTTTCTCTCCCAAAATGACGTTCTCTTGACCCCACATTTCAGTTCCTACAGCTAATGTTCACCATAGGGGGAGGGTGGTGCTCTTGATGGCAGTGCTGGAAACTAGACTCCCACCTTCTTCCCCAGACCCACCTTATGCACCATTTGTGGGGACTGGACCTTTCTCTTGTTTCCAGAACCTGAATCTGTTCTAAAATATAGTATATTAATGGGCAATTTGAGGTACAGTAAGGCCAACAGATCAGGAAACAACTACCATGGAAAAGATAGTTTATTTATCACAGTTCTCCAGAGGGGTAGCATGCCATCTCACAGGAAGCACACAGGGAAGCTCCAGGTTGGTCACGATGCAGAGGGAGGTGGGGGAACTGGGGGCAAGAGCCTTTACTGAGGTTGCTGTGGGAAGGAATGGGGAAGGCAGGGTAAACAGGCTCAGGATTGGGCAGTTGGAATGACTTCAGCGGGCTCTGGGACATAGGATTGCCTCTAGTTGTCTGGTACCTGGCCCAGGGTAATTAGGACAAGTGTATAGTGGCTTGGAGTATGAGAACCAATACAAGGGGTGACTGGGGTTGTGGGCTCTGTATTGGTTAGTTTATATCTGAAAGCATACCCCCAGGAGTAGGACTCTTTGGGGGGGGGGGGGGGAGAGAACAGCAATGAGAGAGGCAAAAGATTAAGGTAGGTCGACTCAAGCTTATTTTGGGTTGTCTAGAACAAGGCTTGTCTGCATATGTGTGTAAGGTAGACGTAAAGTATCAAACTGACAGAGCTAGAAATGTAGTTAATGCACGAGCTCCATCCAGGTCAGTTACCTGGGATCCCGGCCCCCCTAAGAACTGGCAGCCTGCCTTTCTTTGGCGAGGCTTCCTTGAGCAGCCTGGAGCAGGATGTGGAGTTTTGCTTCTGAGACTCAGCCCTGCCTGACATCTGGGACACCTGCTTTTTGGAGACAGCCTTTCTAATAATGACTAATGTTGACCTTCCTAGGGACAGAATTGTTTTTGTTAATGGATTCGCTGTTTCCTGCTCTGCCCATTTGTAAGGACAAGCGCATTGATTCTTCTCGGCTATGCCATGGCAACACTCACTGCTCACCTGCAACGTGTCCTAATGTCTGGCTCTCTGGACATGACACGTTACATAAAAGAATAGACATATTCAGCACCAGCATATTGATCCTTCCGCTCCACATCTGACCCAGCCCACTGAGTGGCTCTAATTGCAACCCACCCCATTTCTGTCTTGATGTATCACATTCAGTCTGGGTTTCTTCATAGCCTAGTCACAAATGATGGCAGTTAGAGCAGAATAGAAGTGCTCACACATACTATTTTCTCAGCTCCTCTTAGTAAAATTATGCACTATTTTTTTTTTTTTTTTTACTGAAAATAAGTGACTCAGAGAAGGTAAGTTTCTTGTTTATATTTACACAGCTAATAATTGGTAGAGCCAAGGTGTGAATACATGATTATTCCAACATGTTAAACAAACTGTGTCTAAGGTCCAAAAAGAACAAAGTTATAACTTTTGAAAGAGCACAGCAAAAGTCAGAATATCCAAGTGTGGGAAACCTCATGGACAAAAGATGCACAGTTGGGAAGTGGAAGGAGGTAGGACTGGCCGAGTCACCTTTGTCCTGGTCTCAACATGCCTGAAGTGCTCAACATTTGATCTTGAGGGAGGGTTTCCGTCTCGCACCCCAAAGTGCTCTACTAGCCCAGAAACTCCCTGTGTGGATTCACAACCTAGCATGTGCTCCAGAATAAGAATACTCTTGTTTTAAATTCCTCCTGGGCCATCCACTAGCTCTGTGAAATTGAGCAAGCTCTTTAACGTCTGCAAGTTTCCTTATTTGCAGAATTTGGGGGATGATTCAAATTAAAATAATATATACAATTTCCCTGAAATCATGTCTGGCATGTAGTAAATAGTGAACACTAAACTAATGTCATTCTCCTTCCCTCTCTCCTTCCTTTTCCTTTTCTTTCTTTCCTTCTTTTTTTGAGGAAGATTGGCCCTGAGCTAACATCTGCCACCAATCCTCCTCTTTTTGCTGAGGAAGACTGGCCCTGAGCTTACATCCATGTCCATCTTCCTCTACTTTATATGTGGGACACCTGCCGCAGAATGGCTTGCCAAGTGGTGCCATATCTGCACCCCGGATCCCAACCGGGGAACCCCAGGCAGCCAAAGTGGAACGTGCACACTTAACCGCTGCGCCACTGGGCCGGCCCTTCTCCTTCCTTTTTCAATTTCATCTCCATCACGTCTTAGTTGGGTCAATATAAGAAAGTTATTGTCTATCTCTAAGGCTCTTTTATGGTAAAAAGCTTGTTTGTGCTACTTATAAAACAGTTTATTTAGTGATTATACGAACTGATGCATGCAAAGTGTTGAGCAGACTGTATAGTGACCTCAAAATTGTATGAAAGCCCTGCAAGACTGCCCCTCCCCAATCAGCTTTAGACACCAATCACAGGCCCAGGTTGTCACCTGTTCTTCAGACTGGCCAGCTATAAATTGGAGATTCCAATGACCCCCTCCTTGGATTTGATTAATTTGCTAGAGTGGCTCACAGAACTCAAATATTTTACTTACTGGTTTACAGGTTTATGATGAGAGGATATAACTCGGAAAAAGCCAGATGGAAGAGATGCATAGGGCAAGGTATGGGGAAAGGGTGTGGAGATTCCATGCTCTCTGGGCGTGCCACTCTCCCCAAATCTCCATGTATTCACGACCCAGAAGCTCTCTCTGAACCCTGTCCTTTTGGGTTTTTATGGAGGCTTCATTACTTAAGCATGATTGATTAAATCATTGGCTGTTGGAGATTGATTCAACCTCCAGCCCCGCTCTCCTTCTCAGAGGTCAGCAGGGTGGGGCTGAAAGTTCTAACCCTCTAATCACATGGTTGGTTCTCCTGGCAACCAGCCCCATCCTTAAGTGCCATCCAAAAATGCTTAGGAAATTCTAAGGGTTATAGGAACTGTCAGTCAGGAACTGTGGCCCAAATATATATTATAACAAATCACTATGTCACAATCAATTATCATCATCATCACTATTACTATTTTCTCTTTATAACCATTTAAACCCTTTGTTATCTATTAATATTGTAGTAAGAATTATCAGGAATAAGAGAAGAATGAACACCTGAAAAGAAGAAAGATTAAAGTAATATATCCCATTGTTCATAATTAAAGATGATTTATTTGCCCAACTCTACTTATATTGTTGTTAAAAATAGTTTTGTTATGAACTTTATGGATATCATGCCGTAAGTTGCCAATATCTGCTCTTAAAAGCTGACTTTGAATTGTTTGTGACTGACCTCAGGTTCCCGGAAAATTAGAAACTCTCTCTTTACTGGAATTAGACATTTTACCTATTAGTCATCAAGGTTAAACTCGGCTTCATTGTCTCTATTATTAATGACTAGATAATTGAAGTGAACTTTTTACCGTGGCTTGCATTTTCTTAACTGCAGACTGACTTTTCTTATTTTTATTTACTATTATTGTCAATTTTGGTTTTTAGTAATTATAAAATTATGTCTCTATATAATTATTATATCGTATATAAAAATGTATATGTACATATATGGGTGTATTGGTGTGTGTGATTGTGTGAGTGTGTATGTGAAGCAACAGAGAGAGACAAAGACAGAGAGATGGGAGGAAGAGGGAAACAAAATATATTTCAGTACAGGAACCTCCTTTATTCATTATATATTTTAGAAAATTAAAATATATAAAAAGAAAAGTTGACATATAATGTGTGTAACCTTTTCATTAGAAATGGAGTTCTTGGGGCCGGCCCCATAGCCGAGTGATTAAGTTTGCGTGCTCCACTCCTGCGGCCCAGGGTTTCGCCATTTCGGATCCTGGGCGTGGACATGGCACTGCTCATCAGGCCATGCTGAGGCGGCTTCCCACATAGCACAGCCACAAGCACTCACAACTAGAATCTACAACTATGTACTGGGCAGCTTTGGGGAGAAGAATAAAAAGAAAAAAATAAAGATTGGCAACAATTGTTAGCTCAGGTGCAAATCTTAAAAAAAAAAAGGAAATGGAGTTCTTGGTATAACTAGGTAATGGGAAGTAATACCAGAAAGTATACCCCATTCCTCTCTTGAAGTTAACAGGTGTATGCACTCATTCCTCCATCTGATGAGAAAGTTAGAAAATGTATGCATTACTATAGCCACAGCTCCCTATAGAGACCAAAATTTCCAAATGACCAATGTCAAAGGGAGTCCTACTGCAGCTAGCCCAAGGTGTGAATGAGAAGGCAATGTCTTTGGTCTTTGCCTCAAGGAGATACAAAAGGAGATGGGAGAATGGAGAATGAAGAATAGAAGAGAGTAAATTTCAGCCAGCTTTAAAGTCAGAAGCCTTGCTTTTCCAGTGGGAGCCTCACCTTATGCTGTTGTAGGCGCCATAAGAGAATTATCCACTTGTGACATGCTGGGACAAGAGGCTGATAAAAGCTTGACGTCGTCTATGATAAGAACACTCCAGACTTTTATTCATTC